CTAATAAACAATATGGAATCGTTGTGGCAAGGACCAAACATCCGTCAGAATAAAAAGTCGATCATCATGAAGTATTACCAACAATCGGTCCTTCTCAGAACCACCATTTTTTTCTACAACGAATAATCTTTCGCACTGACCTTTAACAATGATTGAATGCGTGAATGGATTTACTTTTAACTGAAACTGAAAACGTTTACATCGTTTTTCTTCGAAGGTTTTTGGACCTACTGTTTACAAGGTGGATCAGTGACTTCGTATTCGATTTTTAATTTGTTTTTTCTATATTTAGACACTACTAGGGTAGGGGATGCCGTGGTTAAAATTATTGCACATATTTCGCAGTCACCCTGTATAATGGGGGTTTCAGCCCACTTTTTGGTGGAAAATTTTGAATTCATGCGGAGAATCAAGTGAACCAGAATCAGAGCATGCGCATGAATTCAATTTTTTGCGCCAAAATCAAAATCAGCCCTCAAAAATCAAATGATGAAGACGTTATTATAACGTATTTAGCTAAATACATAGTTTATTCCAAACTACTGAATGGCTTCCTAAATGAAATAGTAATTTACACAACTAGTTCGGGATAGCCTGCTTCCCGCATGAACGCTTGTTTGCGGCACGACCGAAGGGAGTGACGCATTTGCGTGAATGCGGGAAGCAGGCTCACGAACGTGTTGTGTACAATATTTTTTGCGACGAATAAACCTTTAAACTGAAGAGATTAACTGTGAGTTATTTATAAACAACGCCATTGACAGCGCCGTCAACACGTCACAATGTTGACACTACCCGAGTATTTTAAGGTTACCATGGCAACGGGAAGTTAAATGCACGTGTGCGGGAAGTTCGAACTCCCGCACCCTGGTGAATGCGCGAAAGCTATCAAAAAAGGTCATGAGTGCAAAAAATGGTTTTGACTGGCGGACAGAAGGATATGACTGATATGAAAAACCCGTTACCTTGCATGTATTGTTTAAGATTTGATTTGTTTCTCACTTGTAAATAACTATTAGGAGTATAAATTATTAAAAACTGTAGAAGGTCCAATATTTGAAGAAATATCGTATCAGCTTTAGACGTATTGCCTTGGAAACGCACGTCAGCATGGCACTTGTCATAGCACTTACTGTGTTGTCTAGTTCTGTGAATTATATTTTTCGATTTATCATTTTCGATGTATTGAAATGAGTGTGGCGCAAGCTATATTACTGAGGAAGCAGCAATTGTGAGTGAAAATTTAGCTGAATCAATTTTGGATGTCATTTCAACTTATAATAGTTTAAAATGTTTAAAATACATGGCTATATGAGCACGAGCAGGGCTGTAAAAATTTCATTGGCTAGCTAGTAACATTTTTTACAAGCTATAGCCAGTTAAGTGACATTTTCATGTTGAATACAGTGACTTGGTAAGGAACAAATAAAATTTATTTCCACCACTTGCATAGGGCTTTAGCGCAGACTGTTCATGCGTCTTTCATGTAATCACTACATATGTTCGATGGTTCTAGTATAGAAGTCAAATATTCCATTTCTCTGTTGGTGTTACAAATCAACACAATTTTAATATAAATTAGCAATTATCAACCCACAAAAAAATATTAAAAATTCAAATCATGACTGCCTTTTTTAGTAAAAATTTTACTATTGCGTGTAATAGATGTGCTTAATTTATATTTTTACTTCCCGAGCTTAAGCAAAGGAAGTATTGTAATCGAGTCCGTCGGTCGACTCCCTACTTTTACATTTTTTCGACCTTTCATGACCCCTAGAAGACGAAGAAATAGGTCCCCATTTCCGTCTGTCTGTCCGTCTGTCTGTCCGTCTGTCTACTGTCCCGGATTTTTATTTCACAGATAATCTCCGAAAGTACTGGACCGATTGTTGTGCAATTTTGTATTTATATTAGGAATATCATGTAGATGGTAAAACGCTAACCAAAATTTGGCTAATCATCCCCACCAATAATATGATGACGTCACTTCAAAATTGTACATAGTAAATGGATTTTAAATTGTATAAAATAACACAGTCCTAGACATGTAGTTTATGACTCCGAATTGAGTTTTTACCCGAAACGTCCAGATTTTTGAAAAAAAAAATCAAAATTATGAAACAACATTTTACAATTTAATTTGGAATCTGCAAAAGCGAATGCTTTGAAATCTTGCAGAGGATTCACAGTTATGATAAGCATGATACATTTTTATTCAAAATATATTTACTTGTCCCCTCCAAAAAATTGATGACGTCACCGTAAAAGTTTGCCAAATAAATCCTATCTAAAATGTACAAAATATGATGAGTCTGTACTTGTGATTTATCATCCCATTGATATTTTTTTAGATTTGCTTAACAGGTCGCTCAAAAAAATTAATGAATGAATCAATTTATTTTATTGTATTACATTGCACCAACCCAATTTGATAGACACAAAATTTGTAAAGTAAAAACTCGTTTTATTTACATTTACTTTAACATTACAGACGTGCTTTTTTTTGCTCTGACTAGGTTCCGTGAATCTGGTATAGGCCAGTTATAATCAACCACCATCAAAAATTAAAATAAAATCCAATGTTTTATAGGTATAATAAGCGGAAGTCGAAGCATTAAAAAACTCTGGGCGACCATCGGTATTGTTTGCAGTTTCTCTGTTTGACTCTCACGTGTACAATCTCAACAAGTGTTACAGCTTGTTGTCTTAAATTAAGAATGCTTATACATAAATGATTTTGAGTCGCTCTGCTAATACACGCGGCATAGGTGAGTAAACTGTTTCGTTATTTTATGGATTAAAAATTCATTTTCCCAAAAATTTGGGAATAAAGTACTTTTATTTTTAGTATTACACTACATCTATCCAAACTGATACACGTGTCCTTGCAAAAATGTTGATGACGTCATCGCAAAATTTTTTAAATTGCCCCAGTACAAACATGTAATGACAAAAAAGACATAATAGGCATGCAGTCATCATGTTTCCGACAGCGAGGGAAGTACTGTCTAAACTCTTTAGACCAATGTTTTCTATATTTACAGAACACATTTGCAAAATCTAAAAAGAAAATATCAAATACAGCATGGAAAAATGAATAAAAAAAAATAAATCTATGTTTTCGAGTGTTTAAAAATGCTATTGAACGGCAGTGTTGCTTCGGAAATAATAATCAGTAGTAAATAGTACATAAAAAACATGTGTTATAATTTATTATTATCACACGAATTTAAGTAAACGAGCTAGTTTTTTATAAAGAACAAATGTGACAATATTGACTTTATATGTATATATTATATTTTGCTTCTTTGTTTTAATATGTGCAGAGTTATTTTCACAACATGAAACTTAAAACATGTTCAAAATGGAAAATTTGTATAAGGAGATATTGATTTTGCAAGTAGGCTCCGCCCCATAATTGCAAAATCCATATTTCGTTGCAAAAATGTACCATTTTAACCATGTTCTAAGTTTCTTGTTATGAAAAGATGGCTATGTGTATTAAGAGAAAAAGGCAAAATTTAAGCCCCGCCCACCCACCCTATCTCAATTCTGATGATTTTTTTATTCGTCGTAAGCCGAGGGGTGGAGCGTAATTGCAAAATCGATATTTCCCTATAGAAATTTACCATTTTAAACATGTTTTAAGTTTCTTATTGTGAAAAGATGACTACACATATTAAGAAAACAGGGCAAAATGTAAGCCCCACCCACCCGCCCTGTCTAAAGTGTAATGATTTTTTTATTCGTCGTGAACCAAGAGGGCGGAGCTTAACTGCAAAATCCTTATTTCTCTACGAGAAATAAAAAACATGTTTTTGAGTATCGTGTTATTCAAAGAATACTATTAAGGAAAAAATAAAGCCAAACACCTGCCCTGACCTAAATAGTAATGAAGTTTTCATTCGTTGGCAGAACTAGTTGCAAAATTCATATTTCCTTACAAAAATTTAGCATTTTAAACCTGTTTCAGCTTTCTAAAAATAAAAAAAAATCACAATTGAGATAGGGTGGGTGGGTGGGGTATATATTTTGCCTTTTTATCTTAACATACATAGTATTCTTTGAACAACACGATACTCAAAAACATGTTTAATGTGTTAAGTTCTTGTAAAGAAATAAGTATTTTGCAGTTAAGCTCTCCCCCCGCTTGATTCACGGCGAATAGAAAAAAATCATCACAATTGAGACAGGGCGGGTGGGCGGGCCTATTTTATCCCTTTTTGTTTTAATATGTGTAGACTTCTTTTCATATACTTCTGTAGAACAAATTTTTTATACTATGACAAATGTCAATTATCTGTTAAAATTGAATTATGCCACATTATGACGTCGGAAATTCCAACCCACAAAACAACGCTAAGGTAAGTCCATTAAAGCTTGGTTTTAAGCTGGAAACGATGCTTTAACGTGATCCTAAAACATCGAATTAGAAAAATTAAATAATAAAGGTGTTTATTATAATATTTTTTCAATTCATGATTTCTTGCTTTTGACCAATGTTTTTTATTTAGTTAAATTTTGCGTTTAATTCTGAAATGAAAGATTGCAATACACAATTTTATATACCTTAATTAAATAAACCATACACTTGTAGCTGTGTAACGATCATTTCTCTGTTCATATACTAGAATATTTAAAACACTCGATTTTTTTTTCAAAATGTTAATACTTTTTTCAAGGATTCTGTTTTGAAAAAAAAAGAAAACTAACTTCATTCTAAATTCTGGAAGCTGCGAAATAATGAGCAATTTGCAGTTACGCAACTATGGAAAACACTTTTCCCAAACGTATTGTAGACAAAGTTTTTTTTGTGTTAGTGTCGTTTCTAAAAAAGTTAAATATATGTAATTAATATTTTTGTTCCAAGTTTAAAAATTCTGCACTGATTTACACCGCCATATCGTATCTACACATCTCGCACATAGAATAATATCTGTTTAGATTAACAGAAAAACATCTAAGTTATACACATTTTCGGGTTACAAACACATACTCACATTTTTGTTGTCATGCCCATGCAAATCTATAAACTGCGGCGGAATCGGCCTGCTGGTCTCCTCCACACTCCTATGGGGCGACTTATCTTCATGGTGTTTCTTATGCTTCTCCTTTTCCCCATCCTTGTTAATAGCATGCCCATGGTAGTCCCGATATATCCCTTGCGAATCGACAAAGTGTAACTGGAATGTATGACTTACGCCATAGGAATCCTTGTAGTGTCCAGAATCTCTCTTAGATTTATGGTCGGCGTCATGGCCATCGTGGCCGTTGTGGTGATCGTGGTGGGGCGACTGCTCCACGTGAGGATGGGGCAGTACGGGAAACTCCTTGACGTAGTGCGGCTCTTTATGGTGCAGGTGGGAGTCCTTGTGATGGTGGTCCGCGATTATTTCGTGGTGGTGGTGGTCCTTGTGGTGGTGGTGGTCCTTCAGGTGGCTGTCTTTGTGGTGGTGGGGCAAATGGTGGTGTGCCGCCTCCACCAAAGTGGGTTGGATGTGTGTCACGAATTGCGCCATTTTTTCTCAAGTGGTGTCCGTTTGGGCCATGGTTAGCACTTTTGCTGTTAAATTTTGTTAGTTGAAATGGGTTGCGATAAGGCGAGATTTTCAGTAATGGGTTACGATCATTTCAGAGATTGTTTTCAATGTGGCTGCAAATTACAGACAGATCTCAAATAGAGAAACGAAAAACACTTACTGTACTGTTGCTTTGGCAATGAGAATACTAAGTAGTTACTGTATTAACGACATGTTTAAATTTAAAATATGTTTCCTAAAGCGCGTTCGTGATTTAAGTACTCATTAATTCAAATAAGTATCTAAATAACACCAGCTAATAGCAAAGTTAAGTTTTAAAAGTATAATATGGAAAATTTACATTTCTTATTACTTTGGTAGTTTAGAGTGCCCAAATTTTCAAGAATTATACTTCTAATACAGTTAAAAATGGATGCCTAATAATTATTCCATTCTTAGCATTATAAAGCTGTATAAATTTTAATAATTAGAGGCACTCAGCGAAATTGCGGGACGCTATTTAAAATAGTTAATTTATTCATAAATATCGTATTAATACCGGGGTGTGTTCTTTAGTAAAAGTTTATGGAATAGTTTTTGTGTGAGATTAAAAATGGGCATTTTTTGGAGATGAACAAACAAAAAGCATTTCCACAATAATCTTTAAAATTGTTGTGAACATCAACGAACGAGTTGATTTGATCAATAAAAAAATTTTCTTTTTCATTCTTTATTTTGAGTCACCCTGTATAAGTAATTCTAAAAAATACGTAAGAACCCAAGAGTATACTGATAGTATTTTGCATATTTTTGGGTGGGATTTATTCGGCAAAATTTTGAGATGACGACGTACATTTTTTTGGAGGGGATGAACGGATAAATTTTGTTTAACGATTTGCAATGCCTACAATGGGTGTAAACTATTTGCAAGATCTCAAAGTATTTTTGCAGTTTCAAAGTCTAGCATGTCTAGGATAAAAACTCATTCATAAACCACGAGTGTAAAATGTTATATTTTATAACATTTGGGGCTACTTTATTCAATATGTTAACTTAAAGTTAATTACGCATTTACGGATGCGTTTAACGACTTCTGATTGGTGTAGAGTCGATCACGTTTAAATAAGCTTCTATTGTAAATTTTGGAGATGACGTCATCCAATTGGTGGTGGGGATGTTCAAACAAATTTTGATCAATATTTTACCATATAGACGATATTCTCAAAGCATATATAAAATTTGACAATAATGGGTCCAGTAGATCCTGAAATGACCTATTTAATAAAAATTGACAGAGACGACAGACAGGCGAAAATGCGAAACCTATTTTTTTCGTACTCTAGGGGCTATGAAACGTCGAGAAAACATTAAAGTAGTCATTCATTAGTTGGTCCTCGCGAAATAAAAATATATGAAAATTAGTAAAAATGAGCTTCTTGCAATATTTTCCTTAACTATAATTTTAAAAGTAATTCATTAGTTATATTTTAAGAACCTGTCTTCAAAGAAAATTTGCCAGGAACTTTTTGCGCTTGTCCTTAGGCAACCAAAAATATAGTCCAGACAAAGGGCAGGAAATGTGATAGGAAAAACTGATGTCGGAAGCTTCCTCTATAGAGACAGAGAAAGAAGAATTACTACCAGCTGAAGGCAAATGGAAAAGGCGGAACGACGCCAAAATCAAAAACTACAAAAAGAGTAAAAGACCAGCAAAAACCTCTCTAAAGGGAACGAAGGAAGAATGGGAGATACTGAGAAGATAAGCCAAACAAGTGGGGTACTAAATGAACTCCTAAAGGAAGTTAAATTCCTAAGGAAGGACCAAGAACAATACAAGGAAGAAATAAAACATTTAAAAAGAGAAAATGAAAGATTGGCCAATACGCTTGAGCAAATGGAAAGTAGACTAATAAGAATGGAAAGGAAGGATAAAAGAATCTAGAACGATATGACCAAAGAAGAGAGAAAAATGCAACCAAGACTCAGAACAACGGCAAAAAACGAAAGAAAACGAGGAAACATTATAAAAGGAGGATATCAGAAATTGATGATAAACGGAAAAATCTGGTTGTGGGACGCAAAAATAGAAAAATTAGTTCCGAAGGACGAAAACCATTGATTAACAATAAAATAAACAACAATGAAACACTGATGACGAACTTGGCAAAAAATATGGAAAGAGGTATTAAGGGTAAGAATTAGAGTAAAATATGAAAATTGATACATGGAACATTAAGACACTAAATGAAAAAGAACTAGAATTGTTAGAAGAAGGCACAATGGAAAAACACGGTGAACCAACACGGAACGGAAACAACACTAGCATTATAGAATTTGTTATAAACAATAACTTGATAATAGCAAATTCGTTCTTCGAACCTAAAGATAAGGCAACATAGAAAACTAATAAAAGATATAAAAGTGGACAGAAATGTAGAACTCTCAAGAGATAATTTCTTGGTTACTGCAACATTAAGACCTGAAGACAACGTAAATTACAACAAAATGAAGAAAAAGAAAAGAAAATCAATTATAACTGCAAGCTAATGGAGTTATACAAAGATTGGTACCCACATTGATAGAAAACGAACTAGAAGAAAATAACACAGAATATACAATAGAAGAAATGTGGCAGCGCTACAAAAAATCTTACCTCACGCTGCAGAAAAAGGAAGTGGAATAATAATTACTGGGGACAACAAGAAAAAGACACATTGGTGGAACACAAAAGTGCAAGAAGCAGTGAGAAAAAAGAAGGCAGCATGGAAAACATGCCAAAGGTTTAAGAACGATGAGACTTATCAAGAATACAAGAACTAAGGAAAAAAGCCAAGGACATAGTGAAGAGCCAAAATAGAAAGAGTGGACTGAATTCGGGGAAAAAATGGAGAACTAATCAAAAACTATTTTCTGCTACACTGAAGAAAATGACGCAAGGAAAGAGAAGCAGAAAGGTCAATTGAAAGATAAACAGAGAAATATACTAACAAACCATAGAGAGATTTTGAGTAGATGGGAAGAACATTTCATGAATCTATTGGAAGGAAATGAAGACATAAAAACAGTACAAAACAACGAAGCATAGAGCAGTCCGGACAAGTCATCCAGGAACATGGCACCACAAAAAATTAGTAGTTCCATTTTTGTCGACGACATTATACTGATAGAGGAATCAGAAGAAAAACTTCAACAGGCGTTAAATAAGTGGTATGAAAGACTGGTGGAAGACTGAAACTAAAGTTTTCCCACGGTCAAAACCAAAGTTATGGCAGTGGGAAAAGAAGAGAAAAAGATAAATAACAGAATGGAAAACACATAAATTAAACAAGTATCAGTATACAAATACCTAAAGGCACAGTTTGATGAAAGAGGAAGTAATGTAAGCAATATATGTACCAACATTACTCTATGGGAGCGAAACTTGGATACTAAATGACCGCCTGAAAAGTATAATCCAAGCAGCAGATATAAGATATATTTATGAAAAGTTGGAGGTAAAAGCTTACTAAAGTGAGAAAATAAGGGACGAACTATAGGTGGAGAACATATTCAGTCTCAATTACGGTGGTTTGGACATCTAAATAGACTCCATGCAAGCAGATGAGTGAAGAAAATTTGGGAATCAAGATGAGTCGGGAAACGAAGACAAGGGGGACCGAGAAGAGAATGGACTAACGTAATCACCCAAATTGTAAAGAGGAATGAAGAAATGAGAAATAAATTGTATTATAGCTCGACACCAAAAGTTAAAAGAGGCTATTGATTATTTTTTTTTTTTTTCAGTAACAATATTTAGCATTTTTCTTGTTTGATGTATGTTATACCTGCCTGCCTAATATAAATATACCTAATGTAATTAAAATGATTACTTGCAAATTTAACACAAATAAAGTGTAACATTTTTAAGCGAATGATTTAAGGTACATTAGAATACGAAAAAAATCGATGTCCAGTTTCGGTCTGTCTATCTGTGTGTCTGTCTGTTCTCCGTGTCATTTTTTATTAGAGATAATTTCCGAAACTACTGGACCGATTGCTGTCAAATTTTATGCGTATTTTAGGAATATCGTATAGGTGGAAAACGAACAAAAATTTAGGTAATCATCCCCCCAACCACGAGATTGTGTCACATCTCCAAAATTTACATTAACAAATCGGAGTTTTTACCCTACATATCCAAATTTTTGGAAAAAGAATAAACATTGTATCACAATTTGCAATTCAGCTTTGAAACTGCAGAAAAGTGAAATAATACCCTCCTAAAAATTTATGACGTTATCTCAAAATTTTGCCGATAAATCTTACCTAAAATATGCTTGTGGTTTATCAATGTAGAATTACTAATACAGGATGACTAAAAAATATAACGAATGAAGTAATCTATTTTATTGACCAGATCAAGAACGATGACTAAAATGTTGATGACGTAATCACAAAATTTTGTTATGGGAAAATTCGTTTGAAACAGACATATAGCATGTTTCTTTACGTGCACTTTAATAGTTCATACACATTTTATTTTAACTTACATGATTTGTCTTAAAAAAATAAAATTCACAAAATTTAATTTTTTAATTTTTTAGTTAAGGGACAATGGAAGTTCTTCTGCCTAAATAACTTTGGACCAATCCTTACTTTTTAATTAATTTGTTGATGCAATCCTCAATTAAATCAATGACATGACTGTTTTTGTTAAGTTATTGTAATTATTAATTATACATTGGATTTTTTGTACATTTTACGTTTTTGTTAGTGAATCAAATTATTCCTGCTTTGAACAAGTTACAACCGACATATGTGGTGATAATGGACAATGCAATATTATTGGTAATGTATTCAGTAGTTTCTACTTCATATATGTCCCCCCCCCCCCACAAATGCGGACTTTCTAACTTGACTTTAATTATGTACACGTATTTGAATCTGCATTTCTTCCTTGCAATGTTAAAAAAACGGAGATATATTTTTTAATAATCTTTTATTACGTATGTTCTTTATTAGTAGAAATTTTGCCCCAAATATTATCAACAGCACACAATATATTTACTACATACTAATAAATAATTATTGCACAGTCCAGACTAGACTAATAAAAATATACCTATTTTTGTTCATTTTAATGCATGGTTTTATATAGAATGTTCACACTGGATCAATACATCATTACATTACATTGCAATATTCAAGGCACTCAAGACATGTTTACGAGTTTGCCCTTGGCAAAGACATTTATGACCAGTAAACAAGATTGAGGGTTGTTTCAAACAAAAATAGTGGAGAAACTACATTAGCTCCACCATGTGTACAATAAAGATTGCATTTGTTACTTTCTTGAGATTTTATAACTGTGTCATCAAGTTCGAATCTAATAAAACTAATTACAAGAAATAACAATCTATCAAATGACTGCTTCAGTTTTCTTACTTTTGATCCAATTCGTATTATTAATTGATCGTTTATTATGTTTTATTTATTCTAAATAAATAAATAAATAATTACATTATAGTTAATAATAACTGATGTCAAAAGCGAAAAATTGAAATTCTGAGTACCGATTTTTTCATGTATTTCGGTTTTGGTGAAAAATATTTAACGCTTTTTTACTTCAAAATGCAGATAACATGAACATTAGAATAAAAAAAAGCAAATTACAAATATTTAAATGTGTAGTACTACGTAGTAAACATAGTAACATTGACCCTGAATTTATTTTTAAATATATACACCAAATATTTTTCAAAATTATGTATGTAAATGCCTTAGACTTTTGTAACTGTCATTTAAAAATCTCTACAACTATGTTATTAATAAAATTACAAAAATGTTGTATTTCTGTTGGTAAATGTCAAAAAGGTGACTGCGTAGATCGCAAGGACGTAAACTTTAGGAGGTAATAACAAACAACGCCATCTGCAACAAACGGCCATGTACTGTACAACCCTCGACCGAAAACAACTGAAAAAAACACGTTAAAACACATTCGTGTGACAATTCAACGTCCATTTCTGAATTGTCTCTTTTATTCAACCCATTTCAACATCAAAACAACAGACAACAACAAACATTTACCCAGCAAAAGCACCAACCAGAGTTTGTAGCCTCCACCCAAAGATGGGACACTACTTTCCCTCAAAATCACTAATACCCTGTTTGGGCTTGTTTGTTTGGTCCGAATGGGCAATAATGCGACCGTTCAGCGCGACGGAAAACCTACAGATGAAAAGTCTGGACCAAAGACTCGGTGGTGGCAGTGCCGAGAAACGCCGTCGCCACACACAAGGAATAAAATATCGAGATTTTGTAACGGTCCAGACGCCGTAATCGATACGGGTTTTCGGACGATCAAAACTTTAGGAAAAGCAGTTTAGAGTGTCGGGATGACGGCGGGATAAAACCCAACGAAAGCTTTTAAATGTGATTCTATATTTGTTTCTTTATCCTAGATGCACTCCGGGATTCCGGATGATGATTATGGGGACCACCCTTGGCTTGTTCGGGGACACTTTATTAAGATGGAGGGGTGGGTGGAGACGGAGTGTGAAACACTGTTTTATTAAAATATCTTGTTTCAGATGTAATTGAAATGCAAATCTGAAATGTAGACACTTTTTGTGGATGAAATATTTAATAAAAAATATGTGTAGGATGTTTCGGTTAAGATTTCACGCTTTCGCAACTTTTTTATTCATCAACTTTTAAAATTCAGAACACCTACATCGTATAAAAATAAATTGTTTCTAGAATGAGCTTAGAAATAGACACTATACTCATTGTTAAATATTTCTAAAGACTCACAAGCATCCAGAAAATTACAGTTCTTGATTAGCCCAACTAATTATCATATCTTTCAGTTTTGGTATAATTTCCAAAAAAGCTTCAAACAACAACTAATTTTTTAAATCTATATAAATATAAATCCGCTCTTTAATTGTCATTCATTATAAGTTCCGACAAAAATTTCGTTCTCTGCACGTTTGATAGATTTGAAAAATTAGATGTTATTATCCATATCTTAGAAATACGTAACGTAAATTTTTGTGCAATAAACTACAAACAGAAAACACGAACAATTTTTATAATTCCACTTATTACCTATATCATATTTATATAAGTATATATTCACCATCTGCATGATGTTCCTAATATAACTATCTAGGAAATTTGATAACAACCGGTAGTTTCGGAAATTACGTGTCTAATAAAAATTTATATTTGCTTAGAGGAATAGGTGCATAAGCAGGTAATAAAACTACATATACATTTTTAATCTACATTTTAATTACTATTTTCTTAAGCTATTCCATATTGCTTACCTTATTCAGTAATATTTTTTATCTATATCTTACTTTACCTCAATTTCTCAGCCTGACAGCAATCTTCCTAGGTGGGGCTAGCAGGACAAAGGATCCTGCGGCATGATATACCTGTATACTACAGATGCTTATGACGGATGTGAGAATGAAAAGATAATAAAACTGTCTGGGTGTCTAATACATTTATTAAAGAGAATCTCTGACATACATTTGCATTAAGTATTATTATATTAATACATATATTATACATATATTTGGTTATTCTAGTCTTGAACATTTTATTTGTATATTATTTTATTGCCTTAACTATATATATAAGTATTGTCTAGTCTTACTAACTTTAGTCATAATTATTTTAGTCACATTTTAATTAATATTAATTTTAAGCACTTCCATTTCTGTTGATAACAAAATTGGTGGAGGAGCCGGGTGAATGGATTATTAGAGACCGCACTTGTTCTCTGTAGTCGTACCCATACCTGCAGCAACAGAAACGTTAGGTTAGATGTGTTCCGTGTAAATTATTTTATCTGTTATTTATAGTAACTTACGTGATGATGAATTGAGTCCTGGGAGCTAGCTTGATAGCACCGTTCCCACCAGCGCTACGGGTGTAGTTCCCAATTTCAAGTGTGATGACCCGTCACCACGTTGGAACTTATTCCTCCCGCGTCTGCTGAGACCCCGGAAGCCGATTCGACGAGGCAAGTACGTGGACGTACAGGGAACCGCCCCGTCTTTCCCCGACACAACTTGTGCCACCCCAACACCGGTACCGACACTGCCCCGTCTGAGTCGCCAGTCGGTCCAGTCGTGCTATGCACACCCGCGGGACACCCGTTGGGATGGACTGGACCTGGACCTGGTACGCAAAAGCCATATCCTTTTCAATGGAGAGACCGACCCAGGGCGCTTCTGGAGCATTTTTCCGCCGGACAAGATGCTCAGCGTGCTGCCGGAAATGCTCACGGATAAGGCGTTGGAATGGAACCGAAGCGACCGAGCTCTCTGGTACCCCTGGGATGAGAGTTCCACGCAACCGTGCGGCTGTCCACAGGTGCCACCTCCAAGACCGCAACCACTATCAAATGTTGGAGATGTGGAGAAACTGAGAAACCGTTGAACACGCGTCGTTTTTCGTCACAGCTAGCCCCTCCCGGCTCGCCGTACTGTCCCAGCGCGATTTTGTTCCAAGGTCGCCGCCTCCAGGTCCAGGAGGAGCCCGTCCTGAAGGAAGTCGCCATCCTGGAGGAAACGACCGTGCTCAACGTTTTATTCTTTTTGTCTTTTGTCGTTAACCGAATTGTAATTTGTTTTTCTTAAATTTAGTAGCCGTAGATTATTTTAGCTGTGTAACTGGTGGCAGGGAATAAAAACTCGATTTATTATTAATTTTCCCCTGTTTTATTTTATCTCCTGTTTCCGCAGCGCTCATTTGACCATTTGCATGCCCGAGCATCCCAGAGGCCTGAAGGTTACCTCATAAGCCTAGTTGCTAAAAAGCATTGAAAAAATTTAAAAAAAAATATAAAAAAATAAAAAAATTTGAAAAAATAAAACTCGCTTCTGCCTATGAAAGGGGTCCTTTGTCCTTTCGCTTCTGCCTATGAAAAAAACCACTCGGACCTCGGGTGTCCCTTGTCCCTTGTCCCTTGTCCCTTGTCCCTTGTCCCTTGTCCCTTGTCCCTTGTCCCTTGTCCCTTGTCCCTTGTCCCTTGTCCCTTGTCCCTTGTCCCTTGTCCCTTGTCCCTTGTCCCTTGTCCCTTGTCCCTTGTCCCTTGTCCCTTGTCCCTTGTCCCTTGTCCCTTGTCCCTTGTCCCTTGTCCCTTGTCCCTTGTCCCTTGTCCCTTGTCCCTTGTCCCTTGTCCCTTGTCCCTTGTCCCTTGTCCCTTGTCCCTTGTCCCTTGTCCCTTGTCCCTTGTCCCTTGTCCCTTGTCCCTTGTCCCTTGTCCCTTGTCCCTTGTCCCTTGTCCCTTGTCCCTTGTCCCTTGTCCCTTGTCCCTTGTCCCTTGTCCCTTGTCCCTTGTCCCTTGTCCCTTGTCCCTTGTCCCTTGTCCCTTGTCCCTTGTCCCTTGTCCCTTGTCCCTTGTCCCTTGTCCCTTGTCCCTTGTCCCTTGTCCCTTGTCCCTTGTCCCTTGTCCCTTGTCCCTTGTCCCTTGTCCCTTGTCCCTTGTCCCTTGTCCCTTGTCCCTTGTCCCTTGTCCCTTGTCCCTTGTCCCTTGTCCCTTGTCCCTTGTCCCTTGTCCCTTGTCCCTTGTCCCTTGTCCCTTGTCCCTTGTCCCTTGTCCCTTGTCCCTTGTCCCTTGTCCCTTGTCCCTTGTCCCTTGTCCCTTGTCCCTTGTCCCTTGTCCCTTGTCCCTTGTCCCTTGTCCCTTGTCCCTTGTCCCTTGTCCCTTGTCCCTTGTCCCTTGTCCCTTGTCCCTTGTCCCTTGTCCCTTGTCCCTTGTCCCTTGTCCCTTGTTTATATTAGTAGTATCGTGGTTTCGTAGTATCGCTTGTAAGCGAAGGTAAAACCCTCCAGTCTCGCAGTGGGAGTCGGAACCCACGTCTTCCCCATCTACCAGGTGAGCGCACCTCGACCACATACTCTATACGGGCTGCATGACTTGTTAGATTACTACATCGAATTAATTTAACAATGAATGGATAAGCGAAGAAAAATCCTCAGTCCCGCCGTGGGAATCGAACCCACGTCTTCTCACCTACCAGGCGAGCACTTGACCACATACTCTATACGGGCTGCTTGACTGGTTCGGTTTTTCCAACGAATTAATGTAACGATGAATGAATGCATGAATGAACTATCATCAGCAAAAAGTCGGGTTTATAACGAGCAAAAAGTCGGTTTTACCTTCAATTGAAAGTGAAAGTGTTTACATCATTTTTATTCGAATATAAGAAAGCAAACATAAAGTGAAACCAAGTTCAGTGGTTTACGAAGCATTTTGATCATAGGGCACAGGACACAGGGCACATATCTATCTAGTTTGGCTGCTCTACCCTCTGGTCTAGCTGCTCTGCATGTTCTGGCTGCTTTGCCTGTTTGGCTGGTAAACCAGACGGTTTGCCTGGTCTTCCTGGCCGGCTGCCTAGTGTGTCTGGCTGGTCTGGCGGGTCTGCCTTGCCCGCTGGCCAGCTGTCTGCTTTGTCGATTCTAGCTGTTCTGGCTATTCGGGCGAGCAAAGGAAGCGGCAGACCAGGCAGGTAGGCAGGCAGGCAGGCAGGCAGACAGGCAGACCAGGCAGACCCGGCCCGCAAGCAGGCAAACAGCAGGCAGAGGAGGAACATCAGGCAGGCAGACCAGGCAACCAAGGGGTCCAAAACGAAACAAAAAAGACAACAAAAACTGACAGCAAAACAAAACAACAACAAAATGTCAAAAAAGCAACAAAGTGGGAGAAAATGAGCCAACAATTTGGGCAATTTACCTAGAGTTGTTTCCAAAATATTCCTATCCGATAAACTTCCCTACTTAGAGTAATAATTAATAAATTGAAGGCAATTTTAATTTTAGCGTGCCTTTAATTTATTATACTTTATTTACCCACACCACGCCACTTTTCATTCAAGCGTATTATATTACGAAAACGCATGTCTTTATATTTTGTCCTTACAGGCGCACCCGAGTACGCCCTAAGGCTCAGGAACATATCATATCTGCCGGAGATTTTACGCGTTCACACTAGTCTTGATGCTTCAGGCTCACCTGAACCTGCCACTTTCTCTTATCAACATTTTCGAGCTATTATACTATATATTATACTCGGATTATTTTCGAGCTGAATGTAGCGAGTGTTTCGTTGTGCGTATTTTGTGATTTTAACTGCGAGTATAATCGATGTTAATTATTGAATTTGGCACATCTGATAGCGTGTCTCTTCATTCTACACATGGTAAAGTTTCATAAACGTATTATTGTCTTGTCGTATAAAACATTAATTTACATTGTAACTGCTATTGAATTGTAAAAATCAGCTGACAGGGTTTTTGCTGTTTTTGCTAATCTTTTTCCACACCCACACCTCTTTGTCACCTGAACCGTGGCCTTCCTGTACGTTTATAGATAATCACCCTGATAGGCCCCTGGGTGTGAAGCTCTGTGTCCCTGTCTTGCTTATCATTATGCTTATTTGTCCTAATTGTAGCTTAGATGTATCTAACTCATCATCCTTACCATGCGATGCATGTCAGAAACCTCTACACTTAAAATGTATCGGTTTATCCGAAAACGACGTGAAATGGACAAGATCAAAATCCAAAGCTGTCAAAGTTGTCTGCAGCAATTGTAACAACAATATATCACAATTTAAAGATCTAAAATCTACAATTGCCGCGCTTCAAAATGAGATCGCCACTTCTATCACCAACTTAAGAGCTGATTTTGAAGCTAAATTGAACGATTTACAAATATCTATCAACAAACAGTCAGATCGCTTTGAAGATATTGTTACGGAAGTAACGGAGCGTCAAAATAGGAAGCAAAATTTGATTATGTTCGGTGTTGACGAACAACAAGTCGAGCTCGACCAAGTTCATTCGTCTGAGCGTGATCAATCGTCAGTAAAGGATATTTTAAAATGTATTAACCCCAGCTTTGATGACGATAATATTAAAATTCAACGATTGGGTCGACGATCCGATACTAAGGCCAGACCTATAAAAATCATTCTACGTAATGACCTGGAAGTTCTAAGTTTTATAAAGAATGCCAAGACTTTACGGAATTCACCTGAGCACAAAAAGGTATCGATTTCTTTTGACAAAACCCCACGACAAATTGACTATTATAAGCAAGTCAAAAACGACATGATTATTAGGTTGAACAATGGTGAAACCAACTTGAGAATTCGACATGTTAATGGCATTCCAAAAATAGTCAAGTCTTTAAACTAACACCAACACCCACTTGCAAGTCTTTAAACATCCTTTACCAAAATGTAAGGGGTTTGCGGTCTAAAGTTGCTAACTTTTACAATACAATTACACAGTGTGAATTTGATCTTGTAGCTATAAGCGAATCATGGTTAACCAATGATATCCTGAACAGTGAATTATCCACAGATATATTTACTATTTATCGAAAAGACCGCGCCTTAGAATCTCTAGGGGTAGCAAGAGGTGGTGGGGTGCTTCTTGCTGTGAGGAACTCTATCACTGCCACTGAATTGGATCTATCGAGCATCAATGACGTTGTTCCTTGCATAGATATTGTTGGTGTCAAAATTACTAATCGTAACAACCGTAAATTACCAGTTTTCGTCTTATATATTCCACCTAACACTTCTTCTCAGAATTATGAATTATTCTTCGATGCTTTTACGTCTCTTGAAATACTAATGGAAAATTACCAAACGTTGATTATAGGCGATTTCAATGCTCCGGGCTTCTCCTCCAATTTAAACGATAAATTTTGTTCAATATTAAATTTTTTTAAAGAATTACATTCATTGCAACAATACAATCATATTGAAAATTCCAATGGTCGTTGTCTAGATCTAATTTTTTCTAACTTTTATTGTGTTGTCGATAGAGCCAAATATTATTTAGTCAAGGATGATCCACACCATCCGCCGGTCTGCATTAATTGTTCTAATATCTTCACTCAAGGCACACCCTCGTTTCAACATGATGAATTGTAACAATGGATATAATTTTAAACGAGCCAACTACCCTTTACTTTATGAAAGTCTTTCGTCCATCGATTGGACTCCTCTACAGAATATAGACGACGTTGAAAAAGCTTGTTTTCATTTTTATAACAAGCTTTACGAAGTGTTTAATTTAGCTATACCAAAATACTCTTCTTCTAAGCATAGAGAACACTATCCTCCGTGGTTCACGAGTGAAATAATACGTTGCGTTCGACAAAAAACTTTAGCCTATAAAAATTACAAAAAATACAGAACGATCCAGTATGAGGAGTTGTTTAAGCTCCATCGATCAAGATCTAAATATCTTATAGAGGAAGCGTACACAAGGTACATATCAAACACTGAGAAGTCTATTTCTGCAGACCCGAAAAAGTTTTGGGCTTTTATTCAATCCAAAAAAGGGACTACCAGAATTCCTGGTCTTATGGTGTATGACGGTACCGAACTCTCTACCCCCTCAGACATCGTTAATGCTTTTGGCGAATATTTCAACAGTGTCTTTATTTGTTCTACTCCTAGGGACCACACACAACCACCCTCTAAAATTAGATCTTCTGCACAAATTATCGCTTCTCCAATCTCATCACAGGAGGTGTTGGAAATTCTGAAACGATCAAAGGACTCCCTCACAATGGGAATTGATGGCGTTCCTTCTTTCATACTTAAAGACTGTGCATGGTCGCTAGTGCATCCGTTAAGTGTATTATTTAATCTTATACTTAAGCACTCAGTTTTCCCTTCTTTATGGAAACATGCGTATATATGTCCGATTCTAAAAAAAGGAAATCCAAGTGATGTTACCAATTACAGAGGTATTTCTCTACTCTGCAATTTCGCCAAAGTATTTGAAACAACTTTATATTCTGATATTTATAATCAAACTAAGCAGTCAATTTCTATACATCAACATGGCTTTACTCAGAAAAGATCGACGATTACGAATTTGGCCATTTTTTCTCAGTATGTATCAGAAGTCATAGATAATAAAGGGCAATGCGATGTGATATATACCGATTTTACAAAGGCTTTTGATCAAATAGATCATTTTATATTGATGGAAAAATTAAATCACTTTGGCTTCTCTCAATCCTTAATTAAACTTTTCTGTTCATATTTGCGTCAGAGACAATTTTGTGTCAAGTATAGAAATTTCACTTCTAAGCCTTTTGTTCCAACGTCGGGTGTACCACAAGGATCAAATTTGGGGCCTCTGCTATTCTTACTTTTTATTAATGATCTAGTTAATAATATTACTTGTCAGAAATTAATGTTTGCGGATGACTTTAAGCTTTTCACTAAGATAAATGGTATACAAGATTGTGTTGTTTTACAAATGTGTCTAGATCTTGCATGTACGGAGAATCGCTTGAACCTGAACATCGCAAAATGCAAAGTTGTTTCATACACACGAAGAAATCAGACTACTTACTTTGATTACAACATAAATGGATCTGTTTTGGAACGCGTAGACAGCTTTAAGGACTTGGGTGTTGTATTTGATAATAGATTCACTTTTGTAAAACATATTACTGAGATTATCACTAAGGCATATAAAACTTATGGATTTATTTACCGAAACTGCAGTGACTTTCATAACGAAAGCACTTTGAAATTACTTTTTTGTTCCCTATTGCGTTCGAGGCTGGAATATGGAGCTGTTATCTGGTCTCCAATTTACGCAGTTCATCGTAGTAGTCTAGAGGCCGTTCAAAGAAAATTTCTTAAATGGTTGGCTTTTAAACAAGATGCTGTATATCCTCCTCAGGGTTTCAATCACTCTACTCTGCTAGATAGGTTTAATATTTTATCTCTTTATACACGTCGCAATATTTTAACAATAAGATTTTTGTACAACCTACTCAATAATAAATTAGACTGCCCTTTAGTTCTTGGCAAAATAAATTTTTTAATGCCTCGTTCTTCTGCAGTTCGCCAACATGTGTTATTTTACATTTCTGCTTCTCGTACCAACGCACTAGCTAGATCTCCTGTTGCCTTAATGTGCTCTCTTTTCAATGATATTGCTAGCAGTTGTGATATATTTTTTGATTCTGTAAATTATGTTTGTTCATGTATGAAAGACTTGTAGTAGTGTAGAACTTTAAACGATTTGCGTGTATTCAGTTCATTCAAATACAGCATCCAGATGTAGTCGTAGTTATTGCATTATATATTATTAGTTATTAATTTAAGTCATTTAGTTAATTAATTTATGGTATAATTTAAGTAGTTGTTATCATTATTACAATCAATGTTATGTTATTTAATTCTTCTAATTCTTTTATGTACTTAGTACAATGTAACTGTTGTGTTTACTTGATTCCGGTAAGTGGGTGTATCCTGTTGGAATCAATAAATATTATTATTATTATTATTATTATTATTATTATTTTAACACCCAACCCTTTGCTCTTAACACTCAACCCCAGTCCGGCCCTGTCAGCTGGGCCTTCACGCCCACCACTATTTTACACTGATTCTATCGGACTCTGACCAACCCGACTAAACTGCCCTCAAAGTGCACCCTCTGCATCTGAGATATGTGTCTTAAGTGGGAGTTAATTATTAAAAGTGATTGGTTTGTCGCCGACATTGGATTAAGACACATATCTCTTAAGGACTTGCACTAAAAATTCCGCTTACACTGGAAAACATGGAACTAGTCATTCGCCAATTGGATCCTAGCTTATGACCTTGAAGTAAAAGTAACAAATTCGCAACTTTGACCAGAACCGGACTCCTTCTCGATTCCCGATGCTTTGGAGGAAACCACATTTTTATATTAAAAGCTCGCATTTCTTTGTTTATATACTTAAGAGACTGCTCCAAATAAACTGAGGTTTCAGTACCTTAATAGTGTTTTTTTTATTTCCAAGACCTCGTTTTCAGAGTTATTACTTACCCGTGCCTACGTTGTGGAATATTCAGGAACCTCGTCCGTCACCTAAATTGCAGACATTTTATGGAGACGTAGAGGACAGAATGTGGTGCTGGCAATTGTAAAGATAAATTGCGGCCAAAATTATGTTCTCAAACGAAACTAAATAATTGCGTAGGAGGTTAGAATTTAACAAAAGAAAGTGAGGAACTATTGCACTGAAAACTTACATTTGTTGTTATCGAAGACTACATTCTCATGAAAGAAAGTAATTTCTAGTAAATTATATTTACAAATTTTATAAAAAGAGTGTTGAATAAATTTTCACTTTTATAAAAATAGTAGGTTATACTTAGTCTAATAGAGGACTTACATTGTATCCCTGCTGTTCCAATTTTTCTTAATTTGTACTAGATTCGGCTCATTTCTTATATTTTAATATAGTTCGGCATTAAATACCTACTGTTTCTAGTCTTAAAGTTATTGTTTTACTATTTTTAACATTTTTATTGTATAATTAAATTCATTAAAGACATTTTTAGTTTTTTAGTGTAAATAAATATATGAAAATCTCGAAAGTAGTAATGTTATTATCAGAGTTAGGCATAGCCGAAGTGATGGGGAATCAATCAGACAAATAGGCTACAACTGCAATAGCGTTGGTAATCAAACGGCAATGAGCACCACTTCCGTTATGCCGAAGAGTGGTTACTATATACAAAGTCACTAAAAAATATGGAAGCAGTTGAATATCGCGAGAATTCTATTTTCCGCAATTTTTTAAAATTTTATACTTCATTTGTTTTTAAGATGCAGGACTAAGTTAATTTTTTTTAAATAGCACTAGTAGTCGGATGTCCCGTTTTTAAATACTGCATTTTTGTTTAAATTCAGATATGTAACGCATGCATTATTTTATTTTTTGCCAACATGGTAAAATAAATTGTCAAAAAATAAAAATGCCGAAAATCAGATAATCGTAGCTAGCTTTGATAATACCTTTGTCATAGTCCTGGGGTAGGACTTTATTCCTTTATTCAAAAATTGTACTTGTGCGTATCATTGTAAAAATTTTAGAACTGAGGGTACATAAACTGAAATAAAGATGCCAGCGTAACAGATTGATTTAAATGCTGTTTCCAAATAATTCACAAAATATTCTAGAAATAACACAACTCTGGTTTAATGACCGTAAATAGTGAATACATTGTTATGAAACCTCTGAAAAAACTAAAAAAAAATAATATATTACTGACAATAGATCAAATTAACATTAAAAAAAACAATAATTTTACAACAAATATTCGAAATGTTCTCTCTTTACTTCCTGGCAATAGTAAAAACGTTGCACAAACTTTTCAAACGAATTTGTTAGAATATTAGGAGGTGTATCAATATATTTAATATTCTTTCTTGGAGTTTTTCGATGCTTTGTGGGCTATCAACATAAACTCAGTTTTTACATAATCCTTCAGAAAGAAGTCAAGTGTGGTTAAATCGGGTGACCTAGCTGGCCACTCAACTACTCCTCTTCGTCCTATCCACCTTCTAGGAACAGTTTAATTCAAGTAATGACGTACCTGACGTCCGAAGTGAGGTGGTGCTCCATCTTGTTGGAACCAGAACTACAGGTAAACTAGGGTTTTCATAGTTGATATCTAACATGATATTAAAAAGAGTTCTCGTCATACGTATTTTCTTCTGCGCAATGTTTTTGAAACCGTCAACTTAGAGACTTGTTCTCGATTGGGATGGTTTTCTTTAAAGTGCTGCTACTTTGGTATTGCTTCGACGTCTATCGCCATAGCATATCATCATCAAGATTTCTATTCGTTCACACTGACAAGTCGATGACAGTATTTTCAAAGCTAACTACAATTTTCTATTTTAAAGTGTGCTCATATAAATAATTTATCATTTTATTTGCCGTTTCAGTTAAAAAAGTATATGCATGTGTTACAGTTCTGAATTCAGAAAAAAATCTTCTATTTAAAAATTGACGATTTAACTAGTGGTGTTATTTAAAATAATAATGTTAGCCTTACATTTTGAAAACTGATGAACTTTAGAGTTTAAAAAAATTGCATAAAATAGAGCTTGAATATTTTTACATATAGCTCAATTTCAAAAAGATCCAACTGACCGTTCTAGAGGTATTCAACTGCTTCCATACTTTTAGCAACGTTGTATATCTAATGTAGTGTGATGAAAATTATTTTCAATCCAGTTATGGCAGCTACAGACTTTTATTTTTGTCTTAAACTCAGATCCACCTTAAATTATGCAACTTCTAGGATTTATAACAGGAATTTTCATTTAGCAACATTTGACATTTTTTATGACAGAGGTAATGATAAGATAACAGTATAATCTTGAAACCAGTACACATCTGGGCACCATTCTCAACTCCCGGTAATTTTCATTTTAATTGTAGTGTTGTTAATCGTAGCAATTGTTTAATCGGTTATATAATATTATTGCAGTAAATTGAGCCGTCTCTGCAGAATGGGTCGACATACTTAAATTTTTTTTACAACACTTGACTATTTTAATATTTAAAACTAGTTCTACCTCTAAAATCTTGAATGAAACTTTTAATTTAATTATAACTTAAAAACGTCGTAAATATGTAAATTTTTGAGGAACATTTTTAAATATAATCCCGCCGTTTTTTCTTTATTCAACTACATGCACACAGGAGTTCCGAATGATTATTGCATTATTACTTAGAAAGTAGGGTTAGAGTATAAAAAATTTATTAACACCGTTTTATTAAAATTTCATTAACATATACAAATACTTGTGTAAATTACAATATAATACTGTTTACATTATTTATATGGTAACGCGATATCTAAAGATGTCCAACAAGGAAAAAGTTTTATTATTAGTTAAGTATAGTATACTTTTCGTATACTAAATTACAATAGATAAGAAATTTGTTTATCCACATTCATGAGACTTACCCATTTATGAACAATTTTCTGTTATTCATAAATACGTCGTTTTTATCACTATCCATCAGTAGTAATTGTAAAAAAATTTCAACACTATATTCGTGTAAATATTTCAACATTCTTTCAACGCCTATTTATTTTTTCAAATATATTTAGTATGTGTAATTATATACTTACTAGATAATTCGTAACTGTTTGTAAACATTATCTAAATTACGGTATTAATGTATTGCAGTAATCTGAATCACAGATTCTGTTTTTTTTTTTACAAAGCACCACTTTCCTTCATACAAGTTACCTACTTGAAAATTACAATGCTGGAAGACTAAACTACATAACAGATATGATATAAGTATTTCATTCATCTAAGGATAGTAACTGGACCGTAGATTATTATTATCCATTTCGTTAAACAAATTCTTTAATCTTTAATCTTTCATGTATAACTACGTATTTGAGTAAAAAATATTTCTTTATGTTTTGGTTGCACAACCCAGACAACGCGCAAACTCATTGGCACTTTACTTACAAAACACTTTGTTACTAATTACTTTAATTAAAGTACGGAAAAAATAAACTTTTGGCACCATTTTTGTCACCAGTTTTTGTAGCCATTACGGCAACAACTGTTATTAGAATGATTATAATAACTGCCAAAACACCAATTGCTGCTAAAAGCGCTCTCTCGAAAGGAGTCCATTTTCCACAACACCAATACTGTTCACGAACCACTCTGAAACATTCAAACATAAGTTATTGATTACAAGGAACAAATCATTATAAATAAGTCTACACAGTTGCAGTGCCGATATCAAATCTTTGGCAACCTTAGTACAGTGTGAACCAGTGGCGGCTGGTGGGTCAAAATTTCGGGTCGGCCAAATATTTTGAGTCTACACCTTGGTGTTATATATTTTTGTAATGTATGGCTACTACTCATTAACCACTGACATTTTACGTGCCAGGATGTACAAAACATCTCAAATGTTTCGACCTGTTAAAATAATTTTTTATAGGAAATTGACAATGTCAGTTTGATTCCAAATACTATTAATCCTTAATTCTACTTGTTCTGCTTTATCATTAATTGAGAACCACCCAAACATTATTTTTACTGAGTTCCCCGTCGACCGGCGGCTATACATACGGCTTGCCGACCCCGGACATCCACAATTAAATAATAATAATTAAATAATGACATGCAGTTAAAAAATATAAAAAAAGTAATAATAAAAGTACCAACTGTTAACTATCTTCATTTACATTTATTTTTTTTAATGTATATGACAAATTGTCAAATAAATTAATTGAATAATTGAAAAATTAAAATGATTTAAAACTTTAAATTCGTTTCTGAAATATCTGAAAACGCTTAGATGCTAAAAATACAGAAAAAGCGCATTTATGTTGTAGCTAAGTTATGTACGAAAAATAAAATTTTAGATAATTTAATGTAATTTTTTTCGTTTATTATTCATACACAGAAAAATGTATTAAATCGACAATTATTATTAAAAAAAAATAGTATGCACTGAAGAACATCGAAGCCGTTATTGTTTTGTAATTTGGTTAGCTATCTTAAATATTAAGCGTTTTAAAAACTAAATTCGCGTTGCTGGGTACGGCGAAGGAGGATTTCGCCGGACCTGGCACAACATACGTTCCGCCAGGTCTTTGTCTACTACAGTGTACTAGACAAAGAGAACGATGAAACCGTAAGCTGCTACGAAGTCGAAACATCGAGCATAATGCATTCCTGGGTACGGCTTGCCGAAATCTCGCCGGCAAAGCGTGTTTATCAGCATTTAAAATTAGCAACAAATGCTTTATTTTGTACCTACAATATAATAAAATATATTTTTAATATATATGGTCTATCCTAACGTACATTCAAACTTTATTTCTTTTTTTATTTTCTAATTTCAACGCTTACTAAGTATTTTAAAATGACTGGTACGGCGTGGCCGACCCTGCCGCCCCTGACCAGCCGCCCCTGGTGTGAACTTAAACAGAAAGTCAAAAATGCATTGAAGTTAGAGATTAACAGTAGAGAATTATGTTTAAAGTTCTAATAAATTTCATTGGAGTTTCATTTTATCTATTATTAGTTGAAGAACAAGGAAATTAACTATCTCTGGAAATGAATATACTTAATTTTCATTTACCATTAAAAAGAGCAACGAATTAAAAAAAAAAAACTAAGGTTCTACACAGACTATACTCGGATTTAATTCTAAGTTTAGATTAAAAAATTGCTCAAAGGCAATTTCCCTCGGCCCTGGAGTGTATTCCAGCTTTTTCGAAAAATTATGCAATTTGATTCTGCGAATTTTACTTTTTACTTCCCGAGCGTAAGCAAAGGAAGTATTGTAATCGAGTCCGTCGGCCGACTCTCTACTTTTACGTTTTTTCGATCTTTCATGACCCCTAGAAGACGAAGAAATAGGTCTCCCATTTCCGTCTGTCTGTCCGTCTGTCCGTCTGTCCGTCTGTCCGTCCGTCTGTCCGTCTATCCGTCTGTCCGTCCGTCTGTCCGTCTGTCCGTCTGTCCGTCCGTCTGTCCGTCTGTCCGTCCGTCTGTCCGTCTGTTGTCCCGGATTTTTATTAGACAGATAATCTCCGAAAGTACTCGACCGATTGTTGTGAAATTTTGTACTTATATTAAGAATATCATGTAGATGGTAAAACGCTAACCAAAATTTGTCTAATCATCCCCACCACTAATGCGATGACGTCACTTCAAAATTGTACATAGTAAATGGGTTTTCAATTGTATAAAATAACATAGTCCTACACATGTAGTTTACAACTCCGAATCGACTTTTCACCCGAAACGTCCAGATTTTTGGAAAAAAAATCAAAATTATAAAACAACATTTTGAAATTTAATTTTTAATCTGCTAACCAGAATGCTTTGAAATGTTGCAGATGTTTTAAGGCTATAAAGAGCATCATAAATCTTTAGTCAAAAAATATTTGCTTACCCCCTCCAAAAACTTGATGACGTCAGCTCAAAAGTTTGTGGAATAAATCATATCTAAAATGTACAAAATATGATGAGTCTGTACTTGTGATCTATCACTCCATTCATATTTTTTGGATTTGCATATACAGGGTGACTCAAAAAAATTAATGAATGCGTAAATATATTTTATTGATTTAATCAGGAACTACAAAACCGAATGCTCTGAAATCTTGCAGATGTTTTAAGGTCATAAAGAGCATAATAAATGTTTAGTCAAAATATATTTGCTTATCCCCTCCAAAAACTTGATGACGTCAGCTCGAAAGTTTGCCGAATAAATCATATCTAAAATGTACAAAATATGGTGAGTCTCTTCTTGTGATTTATCATTCCATTCAAATTTTTTCGATTTGCATATACAGGGTGACTCAAAAAAATTAATGAATGCGTAAATTAATTTTATTGATTTAATCAGGAACTACAAAACCGAATGCTTTGAAATCTTGCAGATGTTTTAAGGTTATAAAGAGCATAATAAATTTTTAGTCAAAATATATTTGGTTATCTTCTACAAAAAACTGATGACGTCAGCTCAAAAGTTTGCCGAATAAATCGTATCTAAAATGTACAAAATATGATGAGCCTGTACTTGTGATTTATCATTCCATTCATATTTTTGGATTTGCATATGCAGGGTGACTCAAAAAAATTAATGAAGGCGTGAATTTATTTTATCGATTTAATCAGGAACTACAAAACCGAATGCTTTGAAATCTTGGGAATATTTTAATGTTATTATAAGCATGGTAAACTTTTGTTCAAAATGTATTTGTTCATCCCTCCTAAAAAAATTGATGACGTCACCCTTAAATTTTGCTGAATAAATCCTATCTAAAATGCAAAAAATATGATGAGTTTGTACTTGTGATTTATCATTCCATTCATATTTTTTAGATTTTCTTAAGAGGTGGTTCAAAAAAATTAATGAAGTCAATTTATTTTATTGATTAAATTAAAGGCAACTCTTATTATTAGTATTACACCCCAACCAACCCAATTTGGTAGACACAAAATTTGTTAAAGAAAAAACTCGGTTGAAACATAAGGGTAGCATCGCTTATTTATATCGACTTTAACATTACAGACCTGCATTTGTTTTATGCGATCACTTGGTTCCGCGAATGTGAAATAGACATGTTTATAATCAACCAATTGTGAATTTCACCGTCAAGAATTAAAATAAAACCCAATGTTTTATATAATAAGCGGAAGTCGAAGCAATAAAACCGATGGTCGTTTTGTTTACAGTTTCTCTGTTTGACTTTCACGCATGCTGTTACGCTTGTCATCTTAAATTAAGAATGTTTATACATAAACGATTTTCAGTTGCCGTATACGCGAGTTAATTGTTTCGTTATTTTATTGATTATAAAAAATCAATATTCAAAACGACCCAATTCATTTTCCCGAAAATTTGGGAATACAATAATTTTATTCTTAGTATTACACTACATCTATCCCAACTGATATACGTGTCCTTGCAAAAATGTTGATGACGTCATCGCAATTTTTTTTAAATTCCCACTACAAAAATGTAATGAGAAAAAACACAATAGCCATGCAGTCGTCAAGTTTCCGACAGCGGGGAAGTACTGTCTAAACTCTTTAGACCAATTTTTTTATGAGAAGTAAACGAAAAAAGCGTGCTACGCGTATGTGTCAAATGAGTTTTAATTTACCAAATTTTGTGATGACGTCACCAACATTCCTGCAAGGACATGTGTGTCAATTTGGATACGAATAATAATAGTGCTTTTCCAACATTTTCGGGAAAATGGAGTGAATCGTTCCCGATTTAATCAATAAAATAAATTAACTGATTCATTTGAGTCATCCTGTATAAGCAATTCTAAAAAATATAAATGCAGTGATAAATCTCAAGTGTAGACTCATCATACTTCACACATTCGACAAAATTTTAAGATGACGCCAATAATTTTTTGTAAGGAACCTATATTTGCCATGTTACGATAACGTTAAAACGTCTGTCACATTTCAAAGCGCTGGGTTTTGCAGTTTCTGATTTAATCAATAAAATGAATTGAGTCACCCTGTATAAACAATTTAAAAAAATTTAATTTAAGATTAAGGATAACCTTAAAAATGTTTCAGAAGAGAAAGTTAAATTGTAAAACTTGGTCGAAAGTTGTTTCGACAGAACTTCCCTCGCTCCTGAAATACAATGATATTTTTTTTGGGTCACCCTGTATACGCAAATCGAAAAAATATTAATGGAATGGTAAATCACAAGCACCAAGTCATCATATTTTGTACATTTTAGATAGTATTTATTCAGCAAAATTTTTGGGTGACGTCATCAATTTTTTAGGGAGGGTGGGCAAATATATTTTGATCAAAAATTTACCATGCTTGTGGATGGCTTTAAAACATCCCAAGACTTCAAAGCATTCGGTTTTGTAGTTTCTGATTAAATCAATAAAGTAAATTTATGCATTCATTAATTTTTTTGAGTCACCTTGTATATGCAAATCCAAAAAATATTAATGGAATGATAAATTACAAGTACAGACTCATTATATTTTGTACATTTTAGATAAGATTTATTCGGCAAACTTTTGAGCTGACGTCATCAATTTTTTGGAGGGGATAAGTAAATATATTGTGATTAAAATTTTGTCAGGGTTATCATAACTGTAAACCATCTGCAAGATTTCAAAGCATTCGGATAAAATCTCAATTCGGAGTCA